AATATTTAAAGATCACTTAACGTTATAGGAAAATCAGCTTCTCCTGAGAAAGATGGGCTTTGGAGTGGGACCCCAATTTCTGCCTGGCAGTGGTTAGCCCAGTTGGGTGGTTGCTGCCTCAGTTTACTCCTGGCCTCTGTGTGGCCTGCCCTTCGGTCTGCTACCTGTAACTACCCCGTCGTGCATTGTGGAATCTAATTCCTAAGTAAAGAATAGCTCAGGTCTGTGGACAGATTTATAATCTTGGAAGGCTGGATTAGGGCAGACTGGCTAGTCTTTGTGAGCCTAGATGTTTATCTTATTGAATCCACCAAAGAACCCCTTTAATCAGATATCAGATTCATGCATGCTCTTATGATTAGTATGTATCCTGCTTTTGACAAGAATTCAAGGCTCTCCAGCCTGACCTGGCATATTTCCCAAGCACACATTCCCAGGTACAAAGAGAAAATTATTAAAACTTGTCACAGGTGGTTTATTGCTGATCCACAAGTGATGAATAAGTCCTTTCATGGATAGTTCTGGCATGAATTCTTCAGATGAGCATATTAGGGAGGGAAAGTAGTGGGCTCTGTCCTTCTGATTTCTTGACCCAAAGGAGAACACACAGCCCACTCAAGAACCCGGCTCCTCTCACCCCAACCCCTTCTTGGTTTCCAGCATTTGATCAAATTTGCATCTAATTTATTTTTTCATTCATTCACCTTAATGGGTTTCTTCTTTGGTGTTGCTCTGACCTCTGAATATTCTGACCTGTGAGGCCCCTGGGACCCCAGTTATGGCTGTTAAGGACAGTGAGACTCAAAACCCTGAAATCCTTTACGAGTTGGGGACATGGAATGGTTCTTTGGAACTAAAGCTCAGACCCACCAGGATAAGGAGCAGACTTAACTTTATGTCATCTTGATTTGGGAAGGGATGCAGTGGCCTCTCCTTTCCCCAGAAATATTTGTCCTTCCTGCAGTTGAGAAGTCAGTGAGCACCCCGATTCTAAACCAATCTCTTATCCATGAAGCACAGGGATTTTATGTGTTGGGTTAGAAAGCAGCTTTAAATTAAAAGCTGGTTTATGTTAAAGTTGAGTAGGAGAGCGGAAGGTGCGAATGCAAGCCCCCTGCAGCGTTCAAATCCTGCGAGAATCAGCCCGTAAGGAGGTCGATGAGGTTTTGATTAGGAACGTTGGACCCGGGGGGGTGGGGTGCACAAGCATCCTGAGGTGGGGTCCTTGACTCCCGCGAGAGGCTCGCTGTTCGCTGCAGAAGCGAGCACTGGGAAGGTGTGGCCCACAGTTGCGATGCATCCTTCATCAGGAACATTTGTCACGGCTTATCGTTCCAGATTTACAGATCCGCTTTCCCTCCAGCCCAGTGCTGTGGGGTCTGTGGCATGGGGGGGTCTGGAGGGCTGGGCCGGCCAAGGCCAGAACCGCCTCCAGAGCTCTGACAGCCACTTCTGGTTCTGGAGTCCAGATTCTCTCTCAATTGAAGTTAAGAGCAGGCTTTGGGGGAATTAGTGTGTGTGTCTCCTTGAAGCCAAATATCACAGACATTTCACATTTTTTCAGAACAATTAAATAGGTTTTTAAGGGGTAAAGAAACAGCTGCCTAAAAACAAGAATGAAAAAAAATCCTTTCAATAACAATCATGTTTGAAAGCGTCCAAAGAAGAATTAAAAAAAATTTTTTTTGTTGCTAAATTGGCATGCGAAGGAGGATGGAAATTAAGTCACACCTTTTGGGTTCATGTATATGTAGATATCTGGTATTGTGCTGGGATATTTATTTACTTAAAATTTATAGGTAAAAGAAATTCACGTACATGCTAAAATATTTTAGCAGGGCAGAACGATCAGAGTAAAAGCTAGAAGGATTTTTTTCATGTGTGTCACCCTGTAAACATTTTATATACAGATGGGATTATTTTGTATCTATAGATTTCACTGATTTGTGAATTTTGAACTTCAAAAGAAAATTGTTAGCAGGCCATATTGAACATCAGAGTCATTGAAATAAACAAATACATGAATGGGTTTTCAAAGACTTACGTAGGCAGATAGCAAAAAAGAAAAAAAATCATTACCTGATTAGCCATTTCTTTGGAGTGGGGGGTCAGTGTGACAGCCTCTTGTGCTGGTCAGATTTGAAAGCTAGTTCATCTTAATCCTGGTTGGCTTGTTATGACAGGATAGAGTTTAATTAAAACAGGGTAGAGTTTCGCGTTCTTGAGGACTAGCTTCTTGCTAATGTGAATTCAGTTAATAATCCTCAGTGGAAACCTAATCGGGTGTCTGAACATGGCTAAGGATGGAGATACGGAATGTTTAGAGCTGGAACAGAAATGAGAAATAATTTATTTCAAGACCCCGTTTTGCAGAGGCCTAGGGATAAAGTGGGGGTGGGTGGCTGAGCTGGGCTGGAACCCCGGCTTGGAGCTCCAGCTTGACCCCCACCCCTTCGGGAACTAGCAGGTCAGCGGAGGTGACCCTAGCGGTTCCAGAAACAGAACGGTGGAGCAGCAAGCTGGAGGTGTCCTCATAGCTTTCAGAGTCCCTTGGAAGGAGGATGGAACCCAGCAGGACCCTGATAAAATAGCAGTGCGGAGGTGCATCGCTGCGGAGTCCTGAGAAAGTGATGCTCTGTACCATCCACCCTGCCGATGACAGAGTAAGCATTATGAAATAGGTCAGACCTCTGGACAGTTACAGAGAGTAGTGCCATGAACACCTGCATACCTAGTACCAGGCTTAAAGGAGAACACTGCAGATAGACGCCTCCTGTATACACCCCCTTCTCTCTCCCCTCCCCTCACTGCCAGGTCAACACTCTCCTGAAACCCACTTCCGTTTCTTTCCATAAAGATTAAGTTTTATAAGAAGAAAGGGGGAGGGTGTTCCTTCTCTTTTTTTATTTTTTAGACACCCTTGCTCTTGGACTTGGTGGGACTAAAATGGCATCGTTTGGCATTAAAATGGGAAGCCTCCAGTTCATTTCCTACTGCCGCTATTGCAAATTGCTGAAAATCTGGTGTTTTCAAACAACACAAATTCATTACCGTTCTGCAGGTGTCAGGGTCTCAGGGTGTCGGCAGGGCTGCCTTACCCCCAGAGGCCCCAGCGGTGAATCCATTTCCTTGCATTCTCCAGCCCCTGCAGGCTGCCCACACACCTCGGTCCCTGCATCTTCAGAGCCAACGTGTCTCATCCCTCTGACCCTCTTTCTGTCCTCAGATTTCCCTCTGGCCCAGCCAGGCAAGTTCTACCTTCTAAGGACTCATGGGATTGCATTGGGTCCTCCTGGATAATCCAGGACAGTCTCCCCATTGCAGGTCCTTAATTTTAATCCCATCTGCAAAGCCCATTTTGCATGTAACATATTCACAGGTTCTGGGCATTAGGTGCGGGCATCTCTGGGGGCCACTGTTCCCCATCCTGTTCCTCCCATCAACTTCCCAATGGTGACAGTGTGTCAGGGGTGCCTAATGCGGTCAGGCACCCACTGAGGATGCATTGATGGGCATTCACCCCAGGGTAGGTCCCCTGTGTCTGAGAATGGGTGTGCAGGTGGCTTTGTTTGGCACTGGCCCCTGGGCCTCTGGGTCCTCCTGCCGGACCTGGGACCAGAGCCATCTCGGGCCCTCATAGCTGCCAGTTGAGAGCAACTCACCTTGCTTGCCTCTTGGGGTCCCAGTTTCTTCATGCCACAGGTAGAGCTGCTAATTCCCACCTCAGTGGGCCATCCCGCCGGGAGAGCAGTTCAGCCCGTGCGGTACCGCAGGCCCTTCATCCTTCCTTGTACCTCCTCCCTGTGGTGGTGGGGGAAGGGCAGGTGAGGGTGGGGACACGGTGACCTCCGACCCCTCCCCGTTGCACTCTCTCTTCCCTCTGTGCTTTCCTTTTCCATTCCTAATTGCCATCTTTTCCCGAAGAGCCCTGGCCAAATTCATCTGCAGACATGTTTTATTTTCTTCATGGGTTTTTAAAACATGTGGAGTCATTGCTTACATTTAAAGTTAGGAGATCTCAGAGAGAGATCCAGATTTCTGGGTTGGCCCGAGAAACTACAAGCTCAGCCAGCAGGCCTAGTTCCCTGAGGCCCGCCGCCTCTGCCAGTGAGGCGTGTGTGGCCCCTGTGGGGTGGGCACGGGCCCCCCGCCGCAGTCCCGCTCAGCCCTCCTCACTCTCTTGCGGGCTTATCTGGCCCCCGTCCTGGAACGTACGAGCTGTGCCTTTGACCCGACGTGAGGGACGCCTCACGGGAGTGGTGAGAAGTTTCCAGCTGGCAGCCCAAATCTTGCTTACGAGCGGGGCAGAGTGGGGCCAGGCAGGACCGTGTGCCAGGCAGATCCAGGCTCCTGCCTGGTGTGACCTGCCCCTCCCCAGCGGCATCACCTCGGGCAGCTTCTCTGGCCTCGGTTTCCCCCGGGCAGTACTGCCGTGTGGGATGGGATAATGTCTTTGTGGGCGCCGTATTACAGGACGTTCAGCTATGTCCCTGGGCTCCACCCAGATGCAAGGAGCACACGTCCCCTTCTCCGGGCCAAGGTGTGTCCCCAGACATTGCTGCATGCCCCTTGCAGGGCAGAGTTGCCTGGTTGAGCGCCACTGTAGATCCCTACCTGGTTGAGTATTTGTGAGGCTTGAAGGGGAGCTGGGAGGTGACCTGCCACCCCAGTGCTGAGCTCCCCTTTCAGCATTTGTTTGGCTGGTGTGGACCTTCCAGACATGACGTGTGTGGTTGTGCTGATTGCTCTGGATCCTCTGAGGTTCTCCCACGGTTCTGGCATGTGGCCTGCTTTGGTGCCTGGAAGAAGAGGTGGGTTGTCCCATATAGGAGGAAGCTCACGGTGCCGTCACTAGGTGGGCACAGCCTCCCCCAGGGACACAGTGACTGCTTGCACTTCGCCAGTCTCTGCTTCTCTTTCCACGGTTGTGTTCATTTGCTTGACCTGTGAACCAGGACCCTTGGCTGTGTGTCTGACCTTCAACCCTGTGTCACACTTAGGTGGCCCTGGTACAGTGGACTGAAAGCGTGGGCTTGACCCTTGTTGGCCGTGACCAGTCTTCCATGCAGCTGAGGACCCCTGGCGACCAGATTCTGAACTTCACCATCCTGCAGATCTTCCCTTTCACCTACGAAAGCAAGCGCATGGGCATCATCGTGAGGGTGAGTGGTCTTCTCTTGATGACTTCAAATGGTTAAAAATCCCCAGGTCTGCTGTGTGTCCCTATGGTCTGGCACTCTTTCTTACTCCTTTCTGACCCTCTTTATTGTGATGTCTGTCGCCAAACTAACCAGAGAATGTAATTCCCTAGGTGGAAAGAAAACTAGCTCATCAATTAGATAGGCCTTGGTAATTTATCAGTTCCAGTTAACCCCGTTCTGGAGTGGAAGATCTAAAGAATGTACATTAGGCATTTCTTGGTAATAATATAGTTTTCATTGTGTACTGCTTTGTTTAGTTAAGTATATATATTTTTTTATTGAGGTGAAACCCATGTAGCATAAACCATTTTAAGATGTATAAAATTCAGTGGCATTAGCACATTCACAATGTTGTGTGACAACTACTTCTGTCAAATTTCAGAACATTTTTCACCCAAAAGGAAGCCTCCTGCCCATGAAGGAGTCACTCCCATCCCTCCCTTCCTTCTAGTCCCTGGCAGTGACCAGTCTGCTCTCTGTCTCTAGGGATTTGCCTCATCTGGACATTTCATATAAATGGAATCATACAATACATGACCTTCTGCATCAGGCTTTTTTCAGTTAGCATAATGTTTTTGAGGTTCATGCACATTGTAGCATGTGTCGGGACTTTATTCCTTTTCGTGGCTAAACAATATATTCCCATGTGGCTTATCCATTCATCCATTGGTGGACATGTGGGTTGTTCCCTTCCTTTTGGTTGTTGTGAATAGTGTTCATGTGCACATGTATGTACAAGGATTTGAACAACTGTTTTCGATTCTTTTGGGTATACACCCAGGAGTGGAATTGCTGTGTCATGCTGGGTCTGCTACCCAATTGCTGGATAATTCTATTTTCTAATTTGTAGGGAACCTCCAAACTCTTTTCTACAGTGGTGTTCCTTTTTCATGCCTACCAGCAATGTATGAAGGTTCCAGTTTCTCCAAATTCTCACCAACACTTGTTCTTTTCCTCTTTTTTTTTTTTTTTTAAATTATAGCCATCCTAGTGGATGTGAAGTGATATTTCATTGTGGTTTTGATTTGCATTTCCCTAATGACTTAATGATGTTGAGCACCTTTTATATACTTATTGGCCATTTATATATCTTCCATGGAGAAATGTCAGTTCATGTCTTTTGCCCATTTTTAATTGTTTTGTTTGTCTTTTTGTTGTTGAGTTGTAAGAGTTCTTTATAGAGTCCGGAAAATACACCCTAATTAGAGACATGTTATGCAAATGTTTTCTCCCATTCTGTAAGTTATCTTTTCACTTTCTTGATAAAATTCCTCTGATTCACAGAAGTTACTGATTTTGATGAGGCCCAATTTATTATTTTCTGTTGTTCTTGACTTTGGTGTCATATCTAAGACTTGCTAAATTAAAGGTCGTGAAATTTACCCCTATATTTTCTTTTAAGAGTTTTGTAATTTTAGCTCTTTAGGTCAATGATCCATTTTAAGTTCACTTTTGTCTATGGTGTGAGGTAGGGGTTCAGCTTCATTCTGTTGCATGTGTGTGTATGCAGTTGTCTCAGCACCATTCGTTGAAGAGACTATTGTTTCTCCACTAAGTGGTCTTGGCACCGTTTTGTAATTCAATATTCTTAATGGTTTTTCATTTGTACAATCACAAAAGTTATTGAAAAAACAGAGTGACGGCTCAGTGTCATCATTTTGCCATATTTATTTCAGATTTTATTTTTATGTTTTTTAGAACTTTGATTGAAATAGAACATAAAAGTGCAAATGTTGTAGGCATACAGCTCAGGTGTTTACAAAGTTGACACACCCATGTAACCGCATCATGTGTAAGGAACAGAATCTTGTACCCCAACAGCAACTTGTGCCCCTTTCTGGTTGCTACATTCCCCCTTCCTACTTGGGTATAACCAATGTTCCAATTTCTAACATTGATTTTGTCTCTTTTTGAACTTCATGTAAAGGAGGTTTGAATTCATTTCCTCAAATTTGTATTGGTAAGATGCATCCGTATCATTGCACGTAGTTTAGCTCAAAAATAATTTTTGAAGAAATCAAACACTGTGCATTCAATCGAAGCCCCATCTATCCCCTAGATGTGCATCCTCTCCATTCCTATGCCAAGTTCATCATTCTGTGAAATTTTAAAACAGTATTATCAGACATGTTTAGGTATACATAATATGTATTATGATTTTTACATTTTTATTCTCTTTGTAAATAACACTGTGTAGTCTATGCATCATTATTCCACTTCTGTTTTTTTGTTTAACATGAAGAAAGCTTGATGTTCATACACTTGATTCTACTTCGTTAATCTTAGCTGTGTTATTGTGTTGCATCACGTGACTGACTGTCCTGCTCTTCCTTGGGTCTGTTGCAGTTCCCTCCAGATAGGTACTGAGATAGTGCCATTGGCCACAGCACGGCCACGTGTGTCCTTGTCTAGTCCAGCCCCACTGTGCAAAGGCCAGTGTTTCTCTGTGGAGCATGCCCAGAGACAGGGTTGCTGGACTGTAACACAGAGGCATCTTTAACTTCACCAGATATCAACAGCTCTTTATGCAAAGTGCTTGTACTAATCCCAGTCTCACTGTGCCTCCACATCGTCACCAACATGTGATAGACTTTTTAAGGGTCAAACTTTTTAAGTTTTGCCAATCTGAAGAGTCTGAATTAACCTTGTTTTCCTGTTTGCTTATTTACTCGTAGAGCGCACACTTTCCACTCTGGAAAGCCCAGAAAAACCTGTGTTCGTAATCACCACTTTGTTCAGTGGTTCTTAAACCCGGCTGATCGTTGGAATGACCAGGGGAGCTCCGCATTGTTAGGTTTGGCTGCGGAAAACTCTGCTTCAGATCAGGAGAATCTTTGGAACAGGACTCTTCCATCTTCTCTGTTTTGTTTTTTTTTAAACAAATGAGACTCCCCTCCACCCTGCTGTACCCAAGTGTTTCATGCCGTAGGGATCAATTAGTGACAGTAGTATTGGTAATTAGCAGTAACAATAGTACTAGCAGCAGTAGTAATAGTGGCAGGTAGGAACAACGTAACAAAAACAATAGGTGACATTTCAGTGATGCTTAATTGTGTTCCCGTCACTGTTCTAAATGATATGCATCAACTAACTCATTTAATTGTTCCAAAACTCAGTGAGGTGCCATTATGACTGGCATTTGCCAGAGGAGAAAGTTGAGGCAGAGAGAGGCTAAGCCATCTCCCCAAGCTCACATAGCTGGGAAATGGTGGAGCTGGGCTTGAACCCCAGGCTGTCCGGCTCCCAAGTCCATGCTCTTTAACCACTAAGACATGGGAGTTTGGGGGTGATGAGAGGGACACCAGAATGCTCAGAGAGTACCCCGAGTGTGCCGGGACGGGGTGTTATGGAGTGCTGCCTAATAGATGACCACATGCTTGGTGGCTTCCTACAGCGTCGTGGGCCAGGGGTCTGGGTGTGGCGTAGCAAGGTCCTCTGGCTCAGGGTCTCTCGCAGGCTGCTGTCATCCAGAGTTCAACAGGGGCAGTGTCCCCTTCCAGATAACATCAGGGCTGTTGGCAGGATCCGGTTCCTTGTGGTTGTTGGACTGAGGGCCTTAGTTATTTTCCTGGCTGCTGACCAGAGGCCACCCTCATTCACTGATGCCTCCCCTCTGCCCCCCGCTGTCCTCTCCCTGCTCAGCAACCTTGTCAGCTGGTTTTCATCAGAGTAAGTAAGCAAGTGTGAGCACAACAGAGGGCCCAGTCTTTTATAATCTTGGAACTGACCTCCCATCACTCTGCCTAACTTATTAGAAGCAAGTCACTGGGTCTAATCCCCCCAACTCAGTGGGAGGGGGCTACACAGGGACATGAATGGCAGGAGGTGGGAGCTTTGGGAGCCTTTTTAGAAGCTGTCTCCTCCTGGGTAAAAGATAGAAACAGCTCCATGAGCTTCTGTTCCGATGACCCACTGACACACAGCATGTACGTGCTTTGAAAATGACAAATTTCCCCGATGCCAGTAGATACTTTCAGATTCTAAAGGACATGTAGCCTCGGCAACTCTTGCGTGGGAAGGGCACCTTTGCTTGCCCGCAGCTGCTGCTTTTCCCACGGAGCCACACCTGGCCCGACCCCTGCCTTGTAAACTGTATCGTTAGCACACATCTGATGTCAAGAACATCCGTGGCCCAGCAGCAGCATAAATCCTGTGGGTGGGTTTTTCCTGGAGAAACAGAGTCATTATCTCCTATGGAATTACTTTAATTTTGTTCCAGCATTTTTTTTTCCCAAGTTCTAGGACTGTGGGCTCTGCTGAAGTCATTTGAGGGTTGAGTCATCACCAAATGGTCCCCGATATCAGCCATTCTAGAATAAATGAACAGTATCCCTCACCCTTCCTGTAGCTGTAGAGGACTCATTCCCAGGCACGTGTCATGTTTTATGAGACGTTACCCCGGTGTCTTCCCCACAGTAAGAACAGGACTCTACGCCTGGGATACAAGACACTGTTAAATGGACAAGTCTTTCAGCATTTAAAAATAACATAGCCCCCTTTCCAGATTCTTAAAAAACAAATAAAACCAACCAGCATTCAGTTAAGGCATTTAGAACAAATATGTAAAGAAAGGGATCAAAATTAGTCATCTTTGTTTGCACCACCCTGACAGCCACCCATCTTTTCAGAGAATTTCCTTTCAGTTTTTTCTCAAGCACATAACAGTGTCAGTATCAACTTAAAACTTTGTCACAGAGTTTTGTAAAATCGACGCTGAATCCTATATAAGGCTTTCTAAACCCTCTCCAGCACTGAACACAGTGTATATGGTGAAAATTTTCTCTTGTCACTAAAATATGATTTTTATGACATTAGTGCATGTGTGGTGCTTTGTTGGGGAAAAAAAATGCCATTGTTGGATTAAATAATCTTTCCATGGTTGTTTAGGTTTTCATTTCTTGCTACTAAAATCTGCGAGCATCAATTTTTCCTAAGTTGTCTCTAATGAAATGCATATTATCCTGCTAATTTTTCTTGTTTTCTGACCTGTCTCCCTCTTTATCTGTGGTTCTGATGGGTGGAAATCATCTTCCAGGGCGCTTGGACTGGTTCTCCACTTTGCACAAATCTCACTATACCCCTCTCATGAGGGGTTTCTCATCCTGAGGCCATCTTGCCCCCAGGGAACGTTTGAAAGAGTCTGGAACCATTTTTTGGTTGTCACACCCCAGAGCTGCTGCTTCTGTCTAGTGGGTAGAGGCCAGGACAGCTTCCTAACAGAATAATCCACCCTAAATGTTCATGGTGCCGGGGCTGAGAACTCACTTCTGATGTGTCCATGTATCCTGTCTGTTACTTGAAAAGAACTGTCCCATTGCCTGATGGCAGGAAGCTGTAGCTCGGTTACAGGACATCCCTTGCTTGGTTTAGCGACTGTTGACGGGGCTTTGCTCTCGCTGGCCCATCAGCCTTCTTAAATGTGTGTGCTCCTGGGCCGTACTTGGCAGTGCCTTCTTGCACTTGCAAAGCAAGGTCTTTCCTTTGTGTGCATCCCTGGCTGCTGAGAAAGTAGGTAGGGTCAGAGAAGCCAGTTTCTTTGGGGCTGGTGTGCTCATCTTTCTGAAGGAAGGCTGTGTCGCCTGTTTTGTTTTCGTTGTGTACCCAGTATTCCACTGCCCTCCTAGGGAAGCTCCGCACGTGGAATGATGGAGTTGGATTGTTGGTAGAGATCATACCCTTGTCACGGTTTGAAAAAAAGAGGCCTTTGAACAGGTGCCAGAATCAGACCACAGTGGAAAAAGATGAGGCCCCAAAACAATGCAGCCCGGGCAGCAGATCTCCGTAAATTTATAGTGTGCTCTTGCCCTAAGATGAGAACGAAGTAACCTTGTGATGAACTCGGTGGGAGGAAATGACTGATGGGAGGAGACGGTTGGTCCAGTATTTACACTGGACGAGGCGGCTCAGCTCTTCTGAGCGCCTTCTGTGGCAGAGGAAGCTGGGGAGAGGGGCGTTATTTCCTCCGGCTCTGTTGTTAAGCACAGCTGGGGTGAAGGGGAAAGGAAATAAACCCTCTGAGGCCTTCATACCCCAGCCTGAGTCACAAGCCAGCCTGGGCGTGAGCCATCAAAAAGGGAGTGGGCGGTCCTCATGCTGTTACAATGCAGGTGCCTCCTCGAGGCCTGTGGGTGCTTTTATGAGTAAGCACGTTGCTCTGAAAGATTATCAGTGATTAGAGGGTATTCAAAAGTTATTTGGAAAGAAGAAACTATAGCACTGATTGGGCTTTGGGTATTTATTTCATGTTCAATGAGGGGTTTACACGCGCGCATGCTGGGCTTCCCGGGGCAGCGCGGGTTCGGCACGAGGTGTTGATGACCATGCCCGCCTCTGCTGCCTCCGGCCTCCTGGTGAAGGGAGTCACCGAGGCGAGAGTCACGGGATAAGAATCCTTCCTGGATTTCACCGTCACTCCTCAAAGCCGTGACGTCTCAGCCTTGGTGCTGTCGACATTTGGGGCCGGATGATGCGGGTTGCGGGGCCGTCCTGGGCCCTGTAGGTGTTGAGCAGCACCTTTGGTTTCTCCCCACTAGAGACCAGTAGCACCCACTCTCTAGCTGTGACAGCTAAAAATGCCCCCGGCTCCTGACAAATGCAAAACTGCCTCCATTGAGAACCACTGGGCTAAACGTGGTTTAGCACCCCCCACACTGAGGACTTGAGGCACTGCCACCATCTGCACAAGAGTGATTTCACCGAGTGGGCATTTTCCACGTGTCTGGCCCTTTGCCAAGTGCTCTATGTAGGTGAGCTCATTTAAACTACAACAACCTATTTGGTAAGAGTCATCAGTATCCCTGTTTTACAGACAAGGAAGCTGACATTTAGGGAAAAGGAGTAGCTTGTGCAGGGGCACACAGCTGGGAGCTGGGGCCGGTCTGCGCATGTGTTGCCTGTGCGGTCGCATTACCCACTCCCCAGAGAATCTGGTCGGTGTGAACTGACAGTCTGGGTAACTTGATTTCTAGCTAAGTCCTCAGACAGACGTAGGGGTCCAGAATTATCAGAACCAGCAGTTCTTAGCTGAGTCAGTGTGTTCCCCCAGGGGGTGTTTGTATGTCTGTAGATATTTTGGTTGTCACCATGGAGATGGTGCTGGCATCCAGTGGGCAGAGGCCAGGGATACTGTCAAAGATCCGGTACCACGCGGGCCAGCCCCCGACAGCAAAGAATTCTCCAGCGTAAAAAGTTAATAGTGCCAAGTTTGAGAAACCCTGATTTAGATAACTACCTTACTTCCCAGTTCTTTTGGGTAGACCACAAAATTTGGTCATACTGGCCGCCCTATGTATAAATTTAAAATTATCTTCTAGCGTGGGAAAGGGAGTCCATTCCTGTTGGAATAGTAATGACTGTGAAAACAAAGTTCTTAGATCTTTTTTATCTTGCTTTCATCATTTAATGATTTTTCAAGTGCTTTGAGTATTCTTGTTTTCTGTGGCCTTTGCCTCAAGGTGAAGACCCCCTCTCACTTTTTATCTTGGTCCAAGTGGAAAAACATTGGCATCTGCTGTGTATACTTTGTACCCCATCTATCATGGGAAGTGGGCACTGCTGCAGAATGTGGGTGTTCCTCTTGGTTATTCATTCCATCCGGCCTCCTCTCTAGGATGAATCAACTGGAGAAATCACATTTTACATGAAAGGAGCAGATGTCGTCATGGCTGGCATCGTGCAGTACAACGACTGGCTGGAGGAGGAGGTAAGCGTGGAGTGAACATCAGGCCATGCCCCTTGCACGGCATAATGGGTTCTGTGTACTCACGCATTGTGGTTACATGACAAATCACCCCAAAACTTAGAAGCTCCGAACAACACACATGTATTTTTTACTGTTTCTGGGGACCAGGAATCTGGGTACAACTTGGCTGGCTCCTCCACGCAGGGGCTCTCGCAGGCTGGGGTCAAGGGGTTGATCAGAGCTGGGGTCTTATCTGAAGTCTTAGCTGGGCAGGACCACTTCCGGGCTCACCCAGTGTCCCAGGCGGGATTCGGCTGCTCACTGACTTCTGCATGAAGGCTGGTGCCAGGAGCGCAGGGGTCACGAGGGCCCCATCACAGGCTGCCCAGTTCAGCTGTGACATGAGCAATCAGCCACAGCAGGGAGAGAAGCAGCTCTCAGGTTTTCAGGCCATTTTTGTTTCATCTCTCAACCTCAAGTGGGGAATTCACACTTTACAATCAGTCATATTATTTTTTCAGGGGCCAGGCAGGTAACTCAAATGGATGGGACAGGCTAGGCTGTGTTTATCTGACAGGGTTGTACTTTGCATGTTAAACGTATGAGAATAGTCTTCACTCAACTATGTTCTGTGGGAACACATGGAATTAGTTACTCTTCAGCCATCATTGCTTGCGGTCATTTGCGAAAGCGTGCCTGGTTTTGTCAGAGGTTCCGTTTTTCTAACAAATCCAGATTTGTCTGAGATCTTAGCAATGTTGAAACACACACTGTGACAGTTCACGGACCCGTGTGTCGGCTGTGTTTGGCCTGTGGGCTGCCACACCGCAACCTCCCCTGTAGCAGATTGCTTTCAGGAGGGCAGTGCTCCCATCTGCTTGTTCCCCGTGCCCTTGGGAGGGCCTGTCCACTCAAGCGCCCAGCCCTCCCCAGTGAGAGCCAGGGCCTGTGGGCGGAGCCCTCAGCACAGCCTGCTTTTCAGTGTGGAAACATGGCCCGAGAAGGGCTGCGGGTGCTCGTCGTGGCGAAGAAGTCTCTGGCGGAGGAGCAGTATCAGGACTTTGAAGTAAGTGGTTCTGTGACCTTTCTGTCAGTTTCCCAGCCCTGCCCGCCTCCCCAGCCACACCCCCGCCCAGCTCCCCACTGCTCACTCTGCTGCAGCCATATTGACGTCATCCCTGAGCACACCAGGCTCACTTCTGTCACAGGGCCTTTGCACTTGCTCTTCTCTCTCCTTGGAGCTCTCTTCCCTCACAGAGCTCCCTCGGTCCTTTTGAGTCACAGCTCAAGTGCTGCTGCCTCTGAGAAGTCTTCCTGGACTCCCCGTCTAAGGCAGCCCCACCTCGTAACTCTCCATCTATCATGCTGTTTAACTTTCTTCACTGCATTTGCCACCATCCAGAATGACCTTGTGTGTATGTATACATATGCATATATATATTTATACATATACATATACATTACATACATATATATGTGTGTGTGTATATGTACACACATTTTTAACATTCTTAATATCTCCTTTCTGGAATAAACTCTTTGAGAGCAGAGACTTTATCATTCTGATTTATCCTTGTATTCCCAATCTATAGGATAGTCATTGGCACATATAGACCTTATGGAAAATTGGAAATGAATCACTCCCTTGAAGTCCTAATTTTTTTAACCTATAACAAATGTTGGAGCTGAACTAGGTCACTGGTTTTCGCAGCCAAGGGCTCCAGCATAAGGATGTCTTGCATACTGTCACCTTGTCCTATAGACTGTGAGTTCCTTGCAGGTTGGGTCCTTGTTGTATCCCCAGCCCAGACCCAAAGCTGAGTGTGTGCATGTGCTCATGACTGCCAAGGAGGGGCTGGGCCTGCTCCTCCCAGAGGAACTGTGCTTGGGTCTCCTGTGTGGGTTCGAGTTCTTTGTAAAATTTTATTTAACAAGAGTTCTAGCCCTGATAAATTCTACCCTCCTTTCAATTTTAAAACCATAGGTGCACTGAGTCAGCCTCTAAGGGATTTCGATTTTCTTCCATACCTTTGCTGACACTGTGGAGTGGGGATGGGCAGAGGGGCAGGTCAGTGGCTTTGGAGGTGGGGCATTCTGTCTTTAGAAACCTGGTGATCAAGGGTTCTTGGTTATAAAGTGTATGTTGTATGGGGGAGAACCTATGTTTTTTGAGATCTTGAGTTGTGCCAATCCTTGTAACAACCCAACAGAGTAGCCTGTTACTGCCATTTCATGGGTGAAAACATGAGGCCCAGAGAAGTTAAGCAACTTGCTGGAAATGGCACAAGAGGCGAGTGTAGAACAGGATGGAACTTGCATCTATCCAACTCGTGTCTGGGCTGATGAACTCGGAAGGAGGCCGGCAGCCTCAGTTTCACCCCTTAGAGGTCCGACCCACGTGCTGGGGTCTCCCACTCTGTGCGGTGGGATCAGATGCAGCCCATCCCTCTCGGTGCCCATCAGTCAGCCTCGTACTCCCTGCCTTCCATGGTGACCGTGTGCCCTGCTGTGTCCCAGGCCCGCTACGTCCAGGCCAAGCTGAGTGTGCACGACCGCTCTCTCAAAGTGGCCACCGTGATCGAGAGCCTGGAGATGGAGATGGAGCTTCTGTGCCTGACGGGGGTGGAAGACCAGCTGCAGGCGGATGTGCGGCCCACCCTGGAGACCCTGAGGAACGCCGGCATCAAGGTGGGCAAGCTGCCTGGGACCTGGCAACTGAAGCAACCCTCCAGGCAGAAATGCGTTTGAAATTATATGTTATCCCCTGAGCAGAGCAAAAAGAGAGGGCGAGAGGGTGGGGATAGGGCTGGAGGGGTCAGGTCCGGGCCCCGTCTGGGCGGGGCCACTGCCGTCACTTCCTGCCTCTACAGCCCGGTTTTGGAAGACGTCTTGTGGGTTTGCTTTCACTGGCTGTCCCCCTAGCCCTCGCCGGGTTCCAGGACGGCATGCCTGTGGGCATCTCCTCATCCCTCGGTGCCGAGCTGTGTCCAGCCTGCTTGGGGTGTCCATTATGTTCCTGTTGAGTGACCAGCGGGCCAGCCGTCTGTTGGTTTGAGTGAATGGTTGAGGACTCAGCAGAGGGACCCCCTGCACCAACAACTGCCATGTTTACATTTGTGTTCTTCTGTTTGGGACCAAAAATGTATATCCAGAGAGGCCAGCAGAGGGCATCTGAGGAGCAGGCTGCCGCTCGGTGGACTCACGCGAAGTATTAGCAAACTCGTTGGCTTGAGGCTGCTGAAAACATCTGTCGCACACCTCCACCCAAAAGCAGCTCCCGGCTGCATCTTTGGGCCTGTATTGGGCAAAAGCATCTATGAGAGGGGCCACATGAGCAATACGGGTTAGCTCTGTAGTAATAAATGAGCTCTGGCCACATTCAAGCTGGCGGGGGGCCTGCAGGTGTGTGGGCATATTTTGCTGTGAACCGAATCTGTCATGTTCCTTTGCCTCACAGGCCTACTTCATTGGGAGGAAATTGCCAGCAAGATCCCATTTTTGGAAAAACAGTCTGTTGTCAGAAGGGCCAAGTTTCTGCTGCATGGTGGTGCTTAAAGTGTGTTACTGGTGATTTCTAGGACCTTTGCTCTTGGAGTCTTGGAGATTCCGGTTTCCGCTGCTGGCTTTGTCCTGAGGTTTTTCTCTTCAAAACTGTTCTGTCCAAAAATGAGCTGTTCTATTAGCAAGAGTGTGGACTGGCCTTCTTTATGGTTTCCTTGTGAGATGGGGGTGTGGTGGGTACCGGTCAGGGTGGCTTATAATTAGGGGGTAAGGAAGGTATGATCTTGCATAAGGCAGAAGATGTTAGAAACTTGGAAACTTTCTATTTCAGCCCCTTTCCCAGACACAGCACCTGAGGCCTAGTGAGGTGGCTTCACTGCCCCGGTTCCCACAGTGAGACGGGCAGGGCTGGAGCTCAGGTCTGGGGACTTAGCTGCAGCGCCCTTCCTACCATCCTACCCTCAGGACCCTGGGTCCGTGGTGCGCTCCCCTTGCTGCCATGGGAGGCTGTGGAGGTAAAACTCACTGAATGTGGATGACACTGATGGGTTTCTGGCACGGCCAACACAGGGAAGACTGGCATTGTTACTTTCTGTACCTGCCCCACTGCAGAGCTTCTGTCTGTCCTGTGACCCTAAGCCCCCCACCCCCGCTGTGGAAGCAAAGACAGCAAGGGTTGATGGGGAAGCTAGTAGAGCAGGAAGCATATTCTGTTTGACTCTGATCACCCAGATTCTGGGCCTGGTTGGGACAGGAGCCAGCTGTGTGGCTTTGGGGCAAGTCACCTGCCTTCTCTGAGCCCACAGCCACAGAATGCAGAATGGTCTGTTACAGGCTATGGAAGAACCTGGCATGGTTCCTGTCAGCGCTTTGTAGTCAGGGTTACCCCCATGAGATTTTGCATGGGCATCTGACCACATAGAAAGACCGTGTGTAACGTGGCAAATCATTTTTTCCTGTAGGGCATGGGTGACCCCTCACCAGTGTAGCCTTCTTCTTTGAGATTATTTATTGCTTTAAGGAAAATTCCCAGAAAGGGGATTATGAGGTCAGAGGCCGAGCTTCATGATGTCTACAGAAGCGTGTGACCAGTTTTCTGAAGGTGTCACACCAGGTTGCTGCCACCAGCAGGGGTCTCCCAGGGTCATGATGCCCTTGAAGCTTCCTGTGGTGTGTTGGGGACACCAGGAGCCTTGAAGAGATAATGCAAAATACCGAGTACAGCTCCCTGTTTGGAAACTCAGCTGACGTAGTCTGTGGGCTGGCCTCATGTGCTCACAAAGAGGATGTCCATCATGCTCTAATTTCAGGTTTGGATGCTGACGGGAGACAAGCTGGAGACGGCCACATGCACAGCAAAGAATGCACATCTGGTGACCAGAAACCAGGACATCCACGTTTTTCGGCTGGTAAAGCGTTCTCTGCATTGGGGCCTCGGTGGGTGGTGGAGGGAGGATGCAGCAGTTTGCCCTGTGACCTCACAACCTCAAGTGGGCCCCTAAGGAGGGGAGGGGGCAGCCCGTTAACCACCCAGGGTGGGGGGAGCTGGCATCATGGGTGTGGGTGGGATTTACCGAAGGGCTCAGCGGGGCTTCGGGAGCCCCTAGTTACAGCCCTGCATTAACGCCGTGCTCCTTACCTGGGGGGAGGGAGGGGAGGGGAGGGCTGGTCATGCCCTTCGGAGAAGCTGATGAAAGGCATGATCAGTGTGGAGGGTGCAGATCGGCCCATTCGTTTGAAAGTGCACATGTGTGTCCTAGGATCTCACGAAACCCTTAAAGGCCAAGTCCTTGGATAAGAAATAAATTCCAAATCATAGATATTGGCCTGCTTGCCCTCCTAAAGGAAAACCTTTGGGAGCCTTTAGAAGGAAATGTGTCGGTGGGCAAATGAGAGGTTGCCTGCCCTTGTTGCAAGCTCTTGACCCAAACCGTTCAGGCGTCCCCAGCCCCTCCGGGACTAGCAGCCGAGGACTCGGCTGGCCTTACTGAGGCGGAGGTGGGGGCACCAGGTCCCCTCTGGGGCACGAGTACAGCCACCATGCCAAACAGCTGGAGGGGCTCTGCTCTAGATATTTTTGGGGTTTCCCCCTCACCGCTGCCTTTGGTCCACAGCACATAGAAACTTCAAGAAATCCAGCAGTTCGGGGAGTAGCACAAACAGCATGAGGTAGAGGCAGATACAGTCGGTCCTCATCATTCATGGATTTGTATTTACAAGTTCGCCTAGTCGCTAAATTTATTTGTAACCCAACAGTTAATACTCAAGGCGCTTTCAGGGTCATTGTGGACACGTGCAGGGCAGTGGACAGGTTTAGTCCCAGACATGCACGTCCCTAGCTGACGTGGGGCACGGTCATGCTCTGCTTCTGGCTCCAGCTCTCCACTGTGTGCAAGCGTCCTTTTCATGGGCTACTTTGTGCCACGTTTCTGCATTTCCATGCATTTTGTTGGAGATTTCACTGTTAGGATGGCCCTCAGCACAGTGTCAGCATGAGTGCTGTCCGGTGTCCCTAGGCGCGGGAAGGTCGTAATGGGCCTTACAGAGAAAATACGTGTGTCAGTTAAGCTTCCTTCAGGCATGAATTGAGAGCTGTTGGTCATGAGCTCAATGCTAGTCAATCAACAGTATATGTTTTAGAAGATGGCTTTAAACAGAAACACCTGTAAAATGAGGCTGTGCTCTGATTGGCTGATAAAAATATTGTGACCAGAGGCTTGCAGGAACCTAACCCTGTATTCCCAAATTCGGTGTTCACATAGACTTTATAGAGCATAGCTATTGCAAAGAATGAGAATTACTGTGTGTTCTAGAATTCAGGGGTTGCAAACTATGGCCTGTGGGCCGGCCACCTGTTTTTGTAAACAAAGTTCTATTTTAAGGCAGAGGTGTCCATTTTATTTTCTGTGGCTGTGTTGGCACTACAACAGCTGAGCTGAATAGGTGGGACAGAGACTGTGTGGTCCACAAAGCCTGCAGTATTTAACATCTGGCCCTTTATAGAAGCCTGGCCACCGCTGCCGGATGTCTGGCTTCTGATGCCTGCCCCACCGCATACACGTTATGTAACTTGAGGCCAGTGAACCAGTCTTGCTGTCTGTCGGTTCCCTTACATGCAGCAGATCTGTTAAGTGTGGCTCGTAGAGTCGCCTTGAGATATAAGTAGGGAAAACTCATGAAAAGTGCTTATTTAGCAGTGCCTGTCCCATAGTGAAAGTGCAGCCATTTTTTTTTTGGTGTTGTTATCATTAATCTACAATTACATGAAGAACATTATGTTTACTAGGCTCCCCCCTTCACCAAGTCCCCCTCCCACACCCCATTACAGTCACTGTCCATCAGCGTAGTAAGATGCTGCAGAATCACTACTCGTCTCTCTGTGTTGCACAGCCCTCCCCGTGCCTTCCCCCACTTTTTATTATGTGGGTCACAGCCGTCCTGGGGAAACGCCAGGTGGTGCTTGGTTATACAGGCTTTCCCGATTCCCACAGAATCATAACACACAGGGTTCATTTGGCTGTGCGTCCTTGGCTGGGCGGCCACTGTCCTCACACTGGCTCCAGGAAGCCACTGTTTGTTGTTCTACCATCTCCAGAGAACAAGACCTCCTCCAGCCCTCTGTCCCCTTCCAGGTGACCAACCGCGGTGAGGCCCACCTCGAGCTGAACGCCTTCCGCCGGAAGCACGACTGTGCGCTGGTCATCTCCGGAGACTCCCTGGAGGTGGGTGCAGGGATCCCCGCCCGCTGGGTCCTCCAGGAACGCGTGCCCCTTCCTGCTTCGGCAGGGAGGTGACCGTGGCCGACCCACCCCTCCGCACACCCTTCCCCCTCGCAGGTGTGCCTCAAGTACTACGAGTATGAGTTCATGGAGCTGGCCTGCCAGTGCCCGGCCGTGGTCTGCTGCCGCTGTGCCCCCACCCAGAAGGCCCAGATCGTGCGCCTGCTTCAGGAGCGCACTGGAAAGCTCACCTGTGCAGTAGGTAGGCGGCTCACCAGGGCCTGGGCCGCCGGTGCCCTGGAGTCACGGTCTGTGAGGGTGATGGGATCCTGCTGCCATCCTCTTCACATGTCCCCATGCCTCTTCACTCGGCTCGTGATATTTCACCCTTGTGGACCTTAGCTCTATCTTGTTACTAACCATTGTTATCACTTTTAATATGTCCCCTTGTAAAAGAGTAGGTAAATGTGCCTGGGGGCTTCTCTCCTTAGCTTGCACGTGTTTGTTAGTGACATGACACACAGCACCCCAGGGGGGCGAGGGCTGCACACTGCAGAGGTGGGTCTGGGCTCCATTCTCTGCTGGTTTTTACCAGCTGGGTCCTTCCTTCACCTGTCTGAGCCTCAGTGTACTCATTGGTAGATGGGATCATAACAGGGGTTTCCTCAAATGGTGCTCATAAGGATGAAATGGGGTAGCATTTAGAAAGTACTCGCCACACTGATAGTAAATGCCAATAAGTGCAGGGTGATCATTGCTGAGAATGATCCAGAGCTCATGCCTCAGAGGCAGGCATGTGGTGGCTGTAAACACTGGTGCAGACATGGTACCCCGGCCACCGTTTCGTGGCCGGGACCCTCAGCCAGTCAGCTGGTCCCGCTGGTACTCAGCCCCTCTGCCTGTAAAATAGGAACCTAATTCCTGCACGGTTGGAGTGATCGGACGGGGCTGTGCAGAAAGGTTCCTAGAAGCACTCAGTGGAAGGCAAAACACGTACGATTCTTCAAAGAAAGCATGGAATGTGGGAGTCGTGTTTCCTGCCTCTCCCCAGTTTCCTGGCTTGTCTCTCTGGTCTCTGTGCCCCGCAGGTGATGGAGGCAATGATGTCAGCATGATTCAGGAGTCTGACTGTGGTGTGGGCGTCGAGGGAAAGGTGAGCAGGTGCACGTGCGGGGAGGCCTCTTGCTGCCCAGTGGCAGCTGCTCACATGTCAGATGGTTGTGTCGCTGGGCTGGAAGCAGCTCTATTCTACTAGCTGGAGTTTCTTTTTCCCTTAAAGACATGGCTTTAATGCTCCTAGAAATTCTAGATTTGACTTAAAAAAACATAAGGAACCGTGTATCAGAATTATCTAGCATTATTACCAGGAAGTCAGAGATCCATACTCCTGTATCTTCCAGACAGACAAATGCTGATTTTCTGCTTGCCAAAACCTAAATAAAAAAAAAAAAATGCTTCGCTAACTTTTTAGGGTACAGTGAATGTGCTTCAAACTTTTCCATGGTAGTAGCCTTGTTAAGAAAAGCATTATTTACTTTGCCATGTGCTGATCTCTTAGGGATTATGGAGGAATGTGGCACAGTTTGCCCCCTACTAAAAAATTGAAAAAGCCTTCGCAGCTGCAAGTTTTAAAAAAGTTTGTGTGCTATAACACAGATTTTCACTTCTCTTCCTTGTCAACTGTGTGCTGGCCTTTTACAGTTTACTCTGCCCTTCCTAATTTGTGGCCTTTAAATGACTACAGACAATAATATCGGTCACCAAGTTTGTTAGAACTGTGTGTAAAATAATAGTACGAAGGCACTGAGTGAGGGCTGAGCTGCTGCCCCATACATTTTATGCCATATCTTCATGAATTTGGCTAATGCATAAGCCCTTTTTTTTTCTTTTCTATCCTTTCTCATTTTCTGGTTCTCATCCAGTTGATGGTTATTTGAAGTTGCAGAGCTAAATGATGCTTGAATGAAATTATGGTATGTCTGAAATCTGTGTAGATTCCTTTAAAGCAGATTTTAAGAAGCACACTTGAGTTTTATAGAATTCTTCACACATTTCTATATAGAACTAAAATATTTTCCCTTCTGTTAAAAATTATATTCTGATTCCTTGTTTTTTCAGACTATAAAAGAAGTGTTCATTGTAAAGAAAAAAACACTTTAGAAACTGGTAAAGTGCATCCTTTCTTTTAGACAGCCACATCAAACTAGTAACATTGACTATTTCAGAATTTTTATCTATGTGTGTATTACTGGTTATGGGTATGTACACAAACATATATGTACATATACACACACATATATATACATGTCTTACACATGTATGTATTTTTATGTATAATTTTAAGTGAAAACTGTTATCATTTGAATGCAACTTGCTTAAATCTGTTGTGTCTTGGATTTCTTTCTGCATCAGAACATGCAGAGCCATCATTTTTTAACCTTCCCTCAAACTTTTATTTTTGAAAATGTCACTTCTTCAGGAAAGCTGAAATAGAACAATGAGCACCTTTCTGCTCTTCACTTCAGTTTCCCAGTTGTTAACGTTTGCTCTGTTCTCCCTCTCTCTCCCTCTCCCTCTCTCTGAATTAGTTGAAAGTAAGCTGCAGGTATGCTACATCTGAATATTTCAGCATACATCTCTTTAAAAACCAGGTCACCCTTTTCTGCATAAGCAAAATAATACTATCGCTCCTCCCAAATGTAACATTGATATAATAATATTATAGTCATAGTCTGACTTCCCCAATTGCCCTCCACATATTAAAAAAAAATTTTCCAGGAACCACTGAAGGATCACATGTTGCATTTATTAGCATGACTTCATGTCTCTTCAGTCTTCTTTAATGTAGAGGACTTTTCTCCATCTTTTGGGGGGACATGCCTTTTGAAATTAGAGAATCCCATTATATGGTTGCACTCTAAATTATTTCCACTTCTATAAATGTGCAGAGCTATATGTTCAGGAATGTTCCATTTAATGTATTGCTAGTAGCATCAAGCTCTTCCCCCTCTTATGTTTAACTGTTAAGTAAACCAAGTGTTAAAAAATGCCAGTCTTCAAATGATTCTTTACTTCTGATACATATTAGGGGCTGGGCCTAAACCCCAAGGCTTAATACCAGATCCATTTGGCCTCCAAATTATACCTATGTGATTGGGAATGGGTTTTTTTTTT